AATGAGGTGACGGAGGCATTTAAGATAGAAAAAGGGACACGACTAGGTTGCCCAATTTCCCCATTGCTTTTTATATCAGTCCTGGAGGTTTTGTTGAATATGATTAGAAGGGACCAGTTGGTTAAAGGTATACAAGTCGGAGCTAGACAGTATAAATTGAGAGCTTTTGCAGACGATTTAGTATTGACATTACAGGAGCCAGAATCTAGTACTAAAAGAGTTTTGGAACTGATTCAAGAATTTGGTCAAGTTGCAGGATTTAAACTGAATAAGTTAAAAACAAAGGTTTTAGAGAAAAATTTAACAGCGATTGAAAGAGAGAGGTTTCAGAATGAGACAGGTTTAACAGTGGTTAAGAAAGTGAAATACCTTGGGATTAATATGACAGCTAAAAATGGGAACTTATTTAAAGACAATTATGAAAAATGTTGGACGGAAGTGAAAAAAGACTTAGAAATTTGGTCAAATTTGAAGCTTTCACTGATAGGCCGTATTGCTGCGATAAAAATGAATGTATTGCCTAGAATGCTATTTTTGTTTCAAACATTGCAAATTGTGGATAAGATGGATTGTTTCAAGAAGTGGCAGAGAGACATCTCTAGATTTGTCTGGCAGGGCAAGAAGCCTAGAATAAAATTTAAAATATTAACGGATGCAAAGGAAAGAGGCGGATTTGCCCTGCCAGACTTTAAACTTTATTATGAATCAGCAGCCTTTTGCTGGTTGAAAGAATGGCTGCTTCTTGAAAACACAGACATCTTGGACTTAGAAGGTTTTAATAATGTATTTGGATGGCATGCATATTTATGGTATGATAAGGTCAAAGCACATAAAGCATTTAAAAACCATATTGTCAGGAAAGCATTGTTTAATGTCTGGATAAGATATAAGGATTTATTTGAAAATAAAACCCCAAGGTGGTTGTCACCGATGGAAGCGAAGGCTCAGAAAAAGCTCAATATGGAGGCCAAATGGCCGAAATATTGGGAAATTTTGGAACAAGAGGGAGACAAATTGAAATTGCAGAGTTTTGAAAAATTAAAAAACAAAGTGCAAGATTGGCTTCATTATTATCAAATAATGGAGGCATACAATTTGGACAACAAAATTGGATTCCAGGTGGAAAAATCAAAATTGGAAACAGAATTGTTAGATCCCAAAACTAAGATTTTGTCAAGGATGTATAACTTGCTGTTGAAATGGAATACTCAGGATGAAACTGTGAAATCTGCTATGATTAAATGGGCACAAGATGTTGGACATAACATTATGATGGCTGACTGGGAACAGTTATGGACCACAGGTATGAAGTTTACGGCATGTAATGCCTTAAGAGAGAATATTATGAAAATGATATACAGGTGGTACATGACACCAGTCAAGCTTGCAAAAATCTATCACTTGCCCGATAATAAATGTTGGAAATGTAAGGAAACTGAAGGTACATTCTTTCACCTTTGGTGGACGTGCCCAAGGATTAAGGCTTTCTGGGAGATGATATATAATGAACTGAAAAAGGTATTTAAATATACCTTCCTGAAGAAACCAGAGGCCTTTCTCCTGGGCATAGTGGGCCAATTGGTGCCAAAGAAGGATAGAACTTTCTTTATGTATGCCACAACAGCAGCAAGAATACTTATTGCAAAGTACTGGAAGACACAAGACCTACCCACTCTGGAAGAATGGCAGATGAAGGTGATGGACTATATGGAATTGGCGGAAATGACTGGCAGAATCCGAGACCAGGGAGAAGAGTCGGTGGAAGAAGACTGGAAAAAGTTTAAAGACTATTTACAGAAATATTGCAAAATTAATGAATGTTAGAATGATGTTGGATAGAAATTAAGTGGTTTTTAGCTGTAATATTATAAGGGAATATGAAAAATGGATTATTAATAGGTAAAAATTTAATGTTACAATATTTTAAGATTAAAGACTAGGATAAACAAAGAGGGGAAGGATTTGCTGAACTAACAAACTGAATTGGAATACAAAAAAGGGAGGCGCGAGGAGGTCCGGGAAACAAGCAAATGAAAGATAAGTAACGGAAAGATTGAGTTGTTTTTAACTACTTTTACTTTGTATTTTTCTTTTTTCATTCTGTAATATTTTGAAAATTTTAATAAATATCTTAAAAAAAAAAAAAGATTTAGAACCTCCACTTTAAAGCATTAAAAGCAACAACCCCACAGCAAAACTCATCAATGTACATTTTGGTCTTAAGATGGGAGTTTGGGCACACCAAGTACAGATAGAATCCAAGCAGCAAATGTAAGATTTAAATCTCAAAGTGGAGGGTTGTTGTTCAGAACCTCCTTGAGAGCAAATTATACCCTTTGAGCTGCGTGAAATAGAAACTGAAATAAGTACATTTTCCTTTCCTTTCCTTAATGATTCCCGTCAGCATAAGGTGCTCTCCGAATGATTCCAGCGATGACACAATTGCAGTAAAGATGCGGAGTCAGAGTAAATGAGCAGACTGTTAAGTTAGCATTTTCTGCAAGGGCTGAAATTGCTCCAAAGCTTTATTGCTCCAAAGCTTTATTGCTAAAGGATGCAATCTCCTGGGAAGGTTTCGTAAGCAAGCCTCATTGAAATGAAAGGGAATGTGCATCCTCTCTATGTTTTTCTGTGGGGATGGGTATAGGAAATGTCCCAAGGAATTGTGGCCCAAAGCTCAATTTTAATTTCATTTTCTTAGTATTTTTACTCATATAACATACCACCAGTTTAGTACAAAAGAGCCTTCTAGGCATCATCAGTAATTTTAGAATGACTGACAGCTCCATATTCAAATCTCTTCTCAGCCACAAAGCTTATTGGGTGACCTCGGGCCAATCACTGTCGCTCTAGCTAAAGCTGTGAGGATAAGCAGGAAGAGGCTATTTATGCTGCCGGGAGTTCTTTGAAGAGTGGAAGAATAATGATGACAATTCTTACTGAGCTTGGAAGAATAGAGAAAGAGCTGTCTATGCCAAAACAACAATGACCTAGAAGTGAGATCCAAGGAGCCTAACAGGCGAAGATACAGTGGGGAGGGGCAAGACTTCTGCTTCAAGCTTCTCAGAAAAACCTCTCTCTCTCTGGTTATTAAAAATGAAACCACAACAAACCATCTCAAAGAGGGCTGCCAGCTTGGCTCCGCGGCCATGGGTGCCCAGGGCTCTGGCACCAAAATTTGTGGGTTTCGGACCCTTTATGGGGAATTTTGTGGGTACATGGGCACCTCGGGGAGTTGGCACCTATGATCTTAAAATGCACTCCTTTGCGGGGGACAATTTAATTCTGAATATAGCACAGGCTCTTGAACCTTGCTGTGGATCTTTTCAACTTAAATGTATTTATTATTATTATTATTATTTATTGCCTTTATGTCCCACCTTTTTCTCCAAGGAGCTCAAGGTGGCATACATTGTTCTCCCCACAACAATCCTATGAGGTAGGTTCAGATGAGAGGCAGTAGCTGGCTCAAGGTTACCCAGTGAACTTCGTGGCTGAGTGTGGATTTGAACCCTGGGCTGGATCTACACTCATGTGTTTAAAGTTAGGATAGGGTTAATGAAGGGTCATGGTAATGCAGAGGGGTGAATGGTGCACTGCTTTTAACATTCTTAAGGTGTTGTTAAAATGTGACACCAGAGGGTGCTACAATAAGTCCAGAAAAACACTTTAAATTACAAGTATGCCCTGCAACATTTTAGAACGATAATCTGATATCATTCTAAGCATGTTAAACAGGTCAGTGTAGATCCAGCCTTGGTCTCCCAGGTCCTAGTCTAAGTCTCTCATCACATTGGCCTTTTCTCCCTCCTTTCTTCCATCCATCAGGTAACCCAATGCAGCATATGTGAGGTTCCTAAGTGGTCTCCTATCTGGGCACTGAACAGAAATAGAAGGGATTAGTGCCCACAAGAGGGTGAAGGTGGTGACTATAGCCTGGAAACCCCACCCCCTGAAACCCGAAATGGAGTGTGAGGGCCAAAAGAATGTCAAAAAAGCTAGGCAAAGAGAAAGTAGATGCCACAGAAAAGAAGGTGTTTTCATTGTTCTTAACACACCCTTTTCTCTTGAAAGTAGTCCTGCAAAGAACACTCCATATATTATCAGATATATATACTTTTTTTTTATGAAGACACCCTGAGTCCAAAGTTAATACAGAAATTTAAAGGTAATACCGAGATACTGCAAAGCAGAGAATTTAAATAAATGTATTGTCAGACTCAAGGTGGTACCCAAAAACATTTGTTTCTAAAAGAATGTTGGAATGAAACGGAAAGTGAGTGCCTGTTCCATCCACAGAATTTCCTGGCACCAGGCTACGTACAGTAATTACTTTTTTATCCCCAATGAAAAGGAAAGTTTAAAGCTCCAGTCTAAAGGGAATGTAACATTCATCAGACCTTACACATTTTAAAACGAGCTATTTCAAAATAGATTTCTCACAAAAGGCATTGTGAATGTAAGCCATCTATTCCAAAAGACTTTTGCGCAACACATTGCTCACTCCGTGCTTAATATCCATGGTGCATGTAGGGATTCTTTATCTAGGGACTGTAAAACTGAAGAGCTGGAACAATGTCAAAACCCAACTAATCCAACCTTCACACTCATATCAATGGAAGTTTAAGTTACCATATATACTGAGAATCTATATGAAAAGCATGCTGGCTAAGACTGTACTTGATATGCTCAGCAGAAATACCTCCCCACTACGCAGTGGCATAGCGGGGTTTGTCAGAGCCTGGGGCCATACAGAGGAAGGCGGGTGGGTGGGAGGGAAACAGACAAAGTATGCATGCACATTCAGGTGCCTAACGGCATCCATGTCACCCAGGTTAAGAGAAGGTTTGTGGCCCAAGATAGCTTGATGAGCTCCATAAATGAGCAAGGATTTTATCACACAGTCTATTATTTTCAGGTAGGTAGCTGTGTTGGTCTGACGCAGTTGAAATATATACATGAAAAATAAAAATAAAAAGTCCAGTAGCATCTTAGAGACCAACTAAGTTTGTTCTAGGTATAAGCTTTCGTGTGCATGCACACTTCTTCAGATATATTCTTCAGGTATCTGAAGAAGTGTGCATGCACATGAAAGCTTATACCAAGAACAAACTTAGTTGGTCTCTAAGGTGCTACTGGACAATGTGTGTGTGTGTGGGGGGGGGAGTCTATTATTTGTTTTCAAAGTCATGGGAAGAGAAGGGGGAAGGGAGAAGGAGAAACTGTGACTGAATTCTCTAAACTCATAGTGTTTTCGCACTTGATTGCACCCACGTTTAAAGCACATTTAAAACACATGGCTTCTCCCAAAATCCTGGAAACTCTAGTTTATCATTCACCAAGCTACAGTTCCCTGCACCTTCAACAAACTGCAGTTCCCAGAATTCTTCAGGGGAAGTCATGTGCTTTAAATGTATGGCGTATACTCAGCCTTACTCTATGATATTTTCAGCACATGGTGTGAGTCAACACATAACCAATCTGGCAGCTTAGTTTATACTCAATTCAGGCTGGTCAGGCTTCAGATTGAAAGGATTGTGTGGGTCCAGCCCACAGACCTTACAGACTGACCTATAATTTATCTCCCTTATACTGCAAGCTAGTGCTCATCATAGAGGCTCCCCTTTGCTTCAGACAAGGTCAGGTAGTGTCTCACTTTGATTCTGGATTTGGGCTTTGCCCGAAGTGGATGCACACCACTAGTGGTTTGTTGATAAAAGAATCATGTGACAGGGGAAGAAAGCAGGATAAGAGAGAGATGACTATGAAGTACAGTTCAATAAATAAAAGCTGAAAGGGAGCCAGACAGTACCAAAACACTCTGTTCAGCACCATAAGTTGCACACAGCAGTAGCTTTGATCCACCTCCATACAAACGACATACACAGATTGCAAAATAGATTATTTTTTGGGGGGGGGGATGCTATAAAATGCTGCTATCGTCTCTCTGTAGTTTTGAAAATAAAAATATGCTGTTGTGTGCTAGATCTAAAAAGAGAAAGGGAAGGCATTGCCTTCAATGTAAACAAAGCAGCAAGATTCAGAGTCTAAAGGAACAGAAATAAGTGCCTTGCCTCCTTTTTATTTCAACAACAGCCCTACATGCTGAATATTCAGGTATTCATCAAGTCTCGGCTTAACTCCTTTATGCTTTCCCATCTCTACTATTTTTCTCGGCTTCCTTCTTATCCATATAATCTCAGGAAAGTGGTAATAGGAAATCTGTTTTAAACCTGTCCAAATCTCTTTCTATCATTGCATATCCAAAGGAAGTTCATACCTTAATTCGCTAGATGTCCTCATTTTTGTGCACCAATACGGTCTCCTTTCACAAGACTTTCTTTCATGCAAAGTTGACACAGGAAGAGACTTCCATGCTATTGTTTCAGTCTCCTCGTCAAGGTGTGCTAATGTTCAGTAATACAAGCATCTGGTTGGCCACTGCAAAAACAGGATGCTGGGTAGATGGGTCTTTGGCTTGATCACCAGGGTACTTCTTACACTGTGGGTAGGACTGATCCATGATTCCCACACAGACACCTCCATATAGCATATGGCCATTTCAGTGGCTTACATGGTGGGACAAAGCGTTATGAATTGTGTGGGGGAATAATTATCAGTTAGGGAAGGGGCATAGTGTGCTTTGCATGCAGAGGGAACAGATTTGGTTACTGTCATCTCTAGGTAGCTCTGGGAGAGATCCCTGCCTGAAACCTTAGAGAGCAGCTTCCAGTCAGTGCAGACAGTATTGAGTAAGATGGACCAATGGTATAAGGCAGCTTCCTATGTAGAAATATAGGAACAATGCTACCCTATCTGACTGCACACACAGCTCATTCTTCAAAGCACATTTAGAAACACTCTTCTCAAAAATAGCTGTTCCAAACATGATGTAAGTTGCATTTACAGAGGAGCCAATCTATCAATTGTGGTTCCTCTGTTTTTCATTTGTCCAGTCTTAGGTTTAGTTTCCCACATTTCCACATCGGTCTGCATTTCTCTTCCTTTTTAAGTCCTCATGAGAATTCACCAGCTTTCTGACATTAATTTCTCCTAATATACACATTTTTTTGCATGGCATTTTGACTAACATGCACATTTTTGCAAAGCAAGTTACCTTAACATAATGCATTTCATAAGTTGTTTTCACTAATATACACATTTGCATGCACACTTTACTCTAGCATATGCATGTTTGTATACGTTACTTGGCTGGAGAAATGTGCTGCAGAATTCAGAGAAGTGGACATTTGGCAGAACTGCTGTGTTTTGGTCCGCATATTGTTTTGAAAAGTGGGAATTAGGTAGGTTCACCTTTAACTGTGAACAGAATTGAATCCCTTCCCCCAGTCCCTAGCTGTATTTCTTTGGAATCTAAAAGCCATGCATATTTCTTCCTTTCTTCCACTTCAAGCTGAAATGAAACCGGCAGGTTATAGGAGCCCATTCAGCAGTGGGCAGAAAGGAGGAAATGAAGGGAGAGCAGCTTTCAATGATTTGCTTTTCATTATACTCCATTATACTCTTACGCAGCCCTACTGATTTTGGCAGGCTGAGCAAAATGGTAAGTGGTGAAATTTACTTGCTTTCTTGAATCGTCACTTTCAGAGATGTGGCATGATGGCCTGTCTAATTCAGCAGCACTCGATAGCTGCTCAAAATCCAGGTGCTAACTTGCTGGCTGGAAGCATATATTTGGTGGTCAACTGATGCTTGGAAACCTTGGCTGCAGCATCATGGCAGCAAAGCAGCACCAGAAGGGGGCAATTTGCAGAGAAAGGATGCTGGCTTCTTCTGCCCACCTCTTCCCCCTTAAAAATCTCTCCTTCCATGTAACCTATAGAGTTTTTGTGAGATCAAAATAAGGGAGTGCCAAGTACTGCAACCTGAGATCCGTAAGGATAAACAATATACCTACCCATAAAGTAATAGTCCCTTTTTACACTGGCAAATCCTCCATGTTTATATGTGTGAAGCTGATATTTTAGTGTGGCACTATTTACACTTTGGAATTCCCTGCCTATCGATGTTGGGTAAGCATCCTTGCTATGTTGGTTTAGACTCCTGCTGAAAACTTTATTTCAGCCAGTCTACCTGGGCATGCAATTTAATTACATGTATCTGCTTTTAAAATTTTGCTCCTTTTATCTGAGCTTTATTGACGATTATATTATTTTTTTACATGATATTTATGTTTACTTTTTTAAAAAAAACAATAAAGGTTTCAAGAGAAAAGAATCAAGTAAAATATCCAATTCGTCAATCTTTTCAAGGCACCATGAGCATTGTGTCTGATTCACACACGACCTTTCACCACTTACATTCCTCATATGAGCGGCCTTGTGGTGTGAACAGTGTGTTGCAAATGCCCAAAGAAAGGAGTTACCTTGGCACCACACACACACAAACACAATTTGATGAATACTCTTCTTAAAACTCACAAAATACATGTATGAGGGCAAATAATTTTACTTGCCTCTCCCCCCTCTCACACACAAATTGAAGCCAAAATTATTCTTTTGGGAAGTTATTAGCTCAACTATATCAATGTGCTGTTATTGAAGTTCACTTCACATTTTCAAAGGTGCTGGTAAATGACACATTCTACCTTTATTTATTTAGCCACCCCATTCCATTTCTAACCCACCCTTTGCCATGTAAGTGAACCCAGGGCAGGATATATCAAATTTAAGACAAATACAAGCAAATGTTTTTTAAAAATGCTCATTGTTTTACTGGGCACATTTTGGTTATTTAGAATGCTGCCACAATTATGATTGTAGCAAATATACCTTACTGCACCAGCAAAATCAGCGGGGGGCGGGGGGCGAGCTGTGGTCTTCCAGAGGTTGTGGTCGACTCCCAAGTCTCACTCAGACCCAGTGAGCCTAGTCAATGGGTGATGATGATGGAAGTCTAGCAAAATCTGGAGGGTCACATGCTTCTTCTACCCAGCTTGGTTTAAATGGTATGGAAAATCCCACATTCTAACAGTCTGACCAGCAGCCAACATTTTTAAATAGTTACATGTGTGTTAAATGGTCACACAAATTGCCATTTAGCTAATCTTACCTAAATGCAATAATCTCACAACAGCCAAGAAAGAGATGGGTAACAATATTTCAGTTAACATATAGCAGAGTCCAGCTATGTCCTGAAAATGCTTATTAAATTCCCACCGGTTATGGTGTGAAGATGTTCCCTGATGGTTTGAAATCACTTGTTTTACAATTCCACTATTTTTGCATACAATAATTCCACTAGATAATAACTGTTGCTTAGAGATTATTCTTCTTTTGCTGCCACTCAGCTTTCTTTGATATACCAGCAGGTGCTGTCTAAGACTCCATTTAGGAAATTATCCATCCATTTCTGAAATGAATCACTTTCCCACATCCGGCAAACAGAAACTGGGAGGGGGGGGGAGCATTTACAGAGGTTTAATCTATTCCTGCAGGTATAATTTGACTGTAGGTAACAATGCTTATCATCGAGACTCTGTCCAGGGTTTTGTTTTGCCTTTTTTAAAAAAATAAATTCCCTAGCAATTCATTTAATATAATATTTGTGTTAATCAATGAAATCCTGTTAAATTTGCTGTTATTTGTGCATATTTAAATGAGTTCAGTCATACCTATTAAAAACTGCTTTATTCCTAAAGCACCTCTTGTCAAATGTCCTGCATATTTCCATTTCGACTCAGTCTCTTTAGTCTACATCTATGATTTTTGGTCTTTGTAATAGCTGATTATTAGTATGTATATATTTCAATTATATTCCTAACATTGTGCATTCCATAGCATGTTGTCTTACTCTTAAGAAGTACACCTCTACCATGCGCCTCTTACTCACATGTTCTCCAAAGTAAAAAGCCCCAAATGTTACCTTTCCTCACAAGTGAGTTTTTTCATCCCCTTGATTATTTTGCATGCCCTTTTGTGAACCTTTCACAGTTCTGCAAGATCCTTTTCGAGTTGAGGTGACCAGAACTTTATAAAGCATTGCAGGTGGTGTCGTGGCACCACAGATTAGCATTATTAGATTGACAGTTTTTTTAGGAGATCCCTATTCCTCTCACAGAGCCACACATCCCAGAGCAATTTAACATTCCATTCTTCTTC